TATTATTATTATTATTATTATTATTATTATTATTATTATTCCCAGATTCATTTTCATAATGTGGTTTTGGGTGATTTTAATAGTTGCACACATAGAGCAAAATGATTGGGGCAAATCATATAAACCTGAATGCCTTTTACAGAATTAGGGTTATAAAGAAGACAAACAGCATTGTGGAGTATGTGGCTTACCTTGTCCGGTGTGAATTTACACTATCTCCTACTATCTGGGAGATGCCTCTGTGTTCACAGGTGTAATGATAATAGACTTGGGAAATCTTTCATCCCCTTTGATGTTTGATGTAAAATAACTTTCTTATCTCCTGTAACACTGATGTACTGTATTCTTTGTTGGTAATATTTGTTTTTGTTTGATTGATGTGTTGGCCTCTGTAGTAAAACAAATTTCCCAAGGAGATAATAACACTTGAACTGAAAAATTGAATTGAATAAATCAACAGTAGATGATTAAATCATACATATCAATGAGGAATATGGAATTAAAGCAAAAAATGTGCTGAGATACAGTGACCAGAAGATATTTAAGCAAGTACCAGAGGACCCACCCCAGTCCTAAAACTCAATTTTCTAATCCCATGGTATGTCATGGTACAATAACTGAGGAACACATATTCTCAAGCCCTTATTTAGTGTAAGTGTTTAAAAATGATATATTTCTGTTCAGGATTTTCAATATAATACCCAGGAAACTTAATTCATACAGGAAACTACAGCAGTGTGTCTATTTCATATTAAGATTCTACACAATTCTATTTGAAAAAACGCTACCCATTTGAAGTACCAACATGCCCTGAAAAGCTATAATCTGATCAATATGCCTATATTTGTAAAACTCCAAATTGCTGTAAGTAAAATTAATCTACCAATCTTAGTTTTGATGCACCCGAAGAAGGACGCACTGTTGCAATTATGTGCTTTTTCTATTTTCTTCCTTTCTAAAAATATATATCTACCATGTTGTATACTGCATGTATATTTTACTCTTGTTTCTTATTCAAAGAACTCTAAGTTACTGAAGCAGATAATTCATACACAACTATTTTTTAATATAAAATTAAATTTAATAATGAAATGAGACAGCCTTTAATTAATAATTGCATCAACGGCTGAACATTTAGTTCTTGCTAGTGCAAGTGAACATAGAGAGCAGATTCAGAAGCTGGTTCGTCTCTTAAAAAGAAAACTCCCACCAACACAGAGACTATAAATAAAACAACAGAATTATATTTCAAATATGTGTTTCTTACTGTAAACATGCATGGAATTTTTAGGATTTTACCTTGCATTTCCATTTACATTCTTGTGCTTCAGCATGACCTCTTGGAAAGTCTAAATTCTTTTTTGTGCTTATACTGTATATAGGAGGTTAACCTGACAAATAAACATCCAAATAACTAATAACAAGAATTTAACAGGAAGAAATGAATGAAGAATGAATGCAGAAAATAAATCTTCTCCAGGAAGAAACACAACAGGCTCTGAGAAGATGTACTTACAGAGGCAGGCTGCTGCAATAAGTCGTACTGCGTCGTATGGTGGCTGGCAGATGGGGAACATGGCTTGCACCAGGTAGTTGGCGAAAGTGAGGGCGATGACAGCCTGAGTGGATGGTTCAATGATGAGGAGGGAGGACCATAACCTGATGAAGGCTATGAACCCACCAAAGGCCTCCAGGATATAGGCATAGCTGGCTCCTGATTTGGTGACTGTTGTGCCAAGCTCAGCATAACACAGGGCGCCAAAAACTGAGAATATACCCCCCAGGGCCCAGATGACCAGAGACAATCCATAGGAGGTGCTGTACATGAGAACCCCCTTTGGTGAAACAAATATCCCAGAACCAATCATATTACCCACAATCAGGCAGATGCCATTCAACAGCGTGATTTCCTTCTTCATCTGCATCTTCTCTCCCGTTCCTTTCAGGTTCTCATCGATGGATGTTGCATCATCCCTGGAGCACAAAGTGCTGCCCCAGGAAGGCATTTCATAAAGTTTCTTCTTCATTATTCACAGAGAAGGCAACTATAAAAGAAATATAATTAAATCAGAACTTTGTACTAATAAGATGTAACCATTTCTCAGAAGCACACCAGACAATATTAATCTACAAACATTCCATGTACATGTTGGGTCCAAGGCCTCAACTATATATTAATTTACTGTAAACAAGTTACTTACTTCTTGTGCTATACAATATACTGTACATAAACTGAGACCTAAAGGTGCATGCTCTTGTCACCAGCTATGTAGCATGGTTTTTAGCATTTGGATTTATTTTATTATGCAAACTGCAAAGGTTGCTGTTTCTAGGTATTTGGCATATTAATTTCCTTTTCCAATCTTTGCAGGATTCCTGAAGGTGATTGTGACGAATAGAGAAAGGGATGGCAAATAGTGTTACACAATGCTCTGAAGCCCATTGGAAAATCACGTTGTCCATTTCTAAAGTCCTGACACTTCAGGGATCCTAAGCCTTTTAGCTTTAAGTTTTGTTACAAAGAAATTGTAGGGTACCGAGCTTTCAAAATGGTATATATTACAATTTTCATCTTCAGATAATAATAATGCTGAATTTTATATATATATAGTGTTTTTATACCAAAGGATCCAAAACACTTGTTAATATAGGAAAGGACATGTGCAGCAGTCATTATACACTAGCAGTTCTATTACATTACAGGCCAGGTAGAGAGGTGAGAAATTGATCCACTGATTGAATTAAGAGGTAATTTTAGGTAGTCCAGATTGGATCTTCAGGGTTAATATCTCTACTCTTTTGAACATTGGCTTAGGATAATTAATGACTAAATAACCTAGACCTTATCACCACACTGGAGAAGTGGACAATGGAAATTCTGATCCTGATGGAAAAGTGCCACCTACTGGTCTACCAACAACAATATACAACATCTACATACAATAGAACACGTAAAGGTTTATTCTAATGCTGACGCACCTACTTACTTGATCTACAAACAACAGCAACCTGTTTTATGTTCTGAAATTAATTTTTAATCCTTGAAGCATCTCAGAAATGAAAAGCAGCAGGTTCATACTGTGATCATACGTGTTCATACAGTGATTTAGTTTAATATTTTCTATTTAAATGTTATTTGTTGTGAAAAACTATTTTTCCAAATGCAATTAATCAAATATGAAATGAAACACTTCCTCTGCTACTCCACTTCAGGTTTCTACCTAAGGACCCCCCAAATCTGGTCAGACAGGTACAGTTTAGCCCCCTTTCCAACAAAGCTTTGACTGCACTGGCAGCAAAACTTCAGGACCCCACTGTCCTCCCACAGGCACAACAGAACAGAAGTTCCAAATGAGTTCTATCAAGACAGGCCAGGAGCAGTGATGTCAGACCACTGTCAGCCAGATCACCCAGCCAGATCCTTTACTGCCACTGTGAGTGGCACAGATAAGTCCTAATCCAGAAAGTATGCTTAATGTGAACACAGAATAACCCTCTTTAGAATAATGGGCAAGCAGGTTGACCTGTTCCCAAAACTTAATAACCTGTACAACATCAATCTACACTCGATAAAGTGGACAGTGATGACCATCTTTGTAAGATTTTGTCTAAGGCAGATGTCTAAGGACATCCTAAAGGATCATTTGATGGTTAGGGTTCTTGGATGAAGATTTTAAATTAAATATTTTTATAGGGGATAGCCTTTTTTACAAAATTTAAATTCCTATTCCAAAATAGTATCTGCTTCTAAGGGTTTATTTGAAGCCTGTAATGCATACATAGTACATAAAGGAATAAACAAATTGTGCATTGGGGTGCAAAGACAATCCTGGCATAGAAAAACATTGCAGAATGGAGACACACCTGTAGAAAAAAAAGAGCCCAGAAGTATTGTGATTAAAACCTAGAACGAGCAACGTCTATTCTCATTAAAAGTTACTGAATCTGATTTTACATACTTTACTAGAGGATATTTACTGTTGGATCATTTGTTTCAAATACGGTTTATGGTATGCATTAACGTTCTTACAGAATGGTTAATTAGGTTATTGGTGGCTAGCCGCTGCCCTGGGAAAACAGTTGCATTCTCCTGAGGGCTCATGGTTTTCCAGGGCTTGTCACTCTGACCAGATCCCCTTTTTATGATCCTTCCTAATAAGCGATTATGTTTTCAATTATTCAATTGCTATTTCCTCTATTTAATGCTTAGGCAGCCATTCATCATTATTAATTTTCTTCCGGTTCTTCATCCCAGTTGGAGCACTGCTTCCACTCTCTCCTTGACCCTGCACAGCAGCTTCATCTTTGAGTCTTCCCTTGCCAGCCTTGCTCTCTTAGAAAGATCGGTGTCTGTGTACTGGAGAAACTGTTTGGAAACTGTTTCCCCACTCAGTTAACAAATCGCTCTGCACCAGAGTTTTCAGGAATCCTGTCTGGATTCTCAAGATTGATTATTTTGCATCCCAGATGTTCCAGTTTATCTGCATGTTTGTTAAGAATCTATTTTTATGCCCATTGCTCATGACATAGACCAACCCAGACCCCCAGCAATGGAAAAATACAAAAAACATGGGGGGCAATTAGAAAAAAAAATAAAGGGGATTTTGTGGGAGAAGCTACAGTGTCAGACTGGCACCCCAGAACCCTGGCCACCTGATCCCATGAAAATAAATTATGAAAATGTTGGAAAGTATACATTTTCATCTGACCTACAGTATATACTGTATCTATATATAAAGCTAGGTTTAGCTTTAGGCTAACTATACAACCTGAGCCTAGAAAGGATCCCAATATTATTTAAAGGTAAAAAGCAAATAACCCACCCAGCTGTTGTTCCCTTGACTGCTCACTACACAATGTTGAATCATCATTATAAATAAGACAAAATATATTCTTATTAAAGGCACAACATTCACTCTCTTTAGAAATATTGTTTTTAATAAATTATACTAACTTCATACTCAGTTTGGAAGGACAAAAGAAAGGTAGATATATATGTAAGTAAAATAAAATAAACCAACCATAGTTATTAATTATACGGAGAGCCTTTACAGTTTCTTCTAGAAACCTCTGGCACATACTGTAATAAGTACAGAGTAGTACAGACAAGTAATACAACATTCTGTAATTTTCAGGTCAGAAAGATTTAACAGGGCACAAGCAGAAAAAACACATATAAACAAAAACAAAAAATAGAGCAAAACTTACCTAAAAAGAACATAAATTGAGAACAGCAGTTCAAAAGGCTAATGCCATAAATACACTTGTCCTTTTGATTTAGGTATAGTCAACAACAAAATGACAGCATATACTGTATGTGAGGCTGAAACAGTAATCACAGGAAAAGGCTCATGAAGTCTTTAGCAGAAGGCCACACAGCTCCAACATGTTTTCAGACATAAACAGTCTCAGGTTTCCTCTATTCCAGGAACTGTGTGTCTAGAAGATAATATTTTCAGCTGTTTACATCATGCAGCCTTCTTACCACAAGATGGAGTACAGCTCCAGTTCCCAGATGTTTACAAGTGAATAAGATAAGATCACTCTATTAGCCATATACAATTTCTTGCAGCTGGGGTTAAGGGCCTTGCTCAGGGGCCCAACGGAGTAGGATTCTCTGCCAGCCATAGCATTTGAACCAGCAACCTTCCAGTCACAGGCACAGATCCATAGCCACAGTGCCACCAATCCACCCTGAATGCACTGCCTCTGAAAAAGTAACTGAAGAATACTGATTATGCAGTGGATTTTAAGATTTTCCCTATTCAGGGATGAGTGAGAAACAGCTGAAAATGTTACTTGTGATAAGGAAGCTACTGTTTAATTTATACCTTCATTAATGTTACCAAACAGAATTGTTTCTTATCAGACATATGCTAGTTCACAGCCTTGCATACAGCTGGTGAGTAATTTCCAAAAGACAGAGGAAAACAGATATAAATAATATGGTAAAAAGGAAAAAAATATATTTTTCTTTTGTTATTTTTTAACAGGAAAAGCAAATAATATGACTTTTAGTTTATGTTTTGTAACAAAATATTGGTCCCCTGGACAGAATCATGGTCAAGATCAGTATTATGGTGTCATGGTTCCGTTTAAAAGAACAAGTAATAGGTTTATTCCATGCTGTAAAGAGAAGAAAGAAAACACAACGTTTTAGCTGTGGAACCTTCTTCTGGGTTTAGGTTGGATTTAGTTCATAATAAGGATTACAGAATAGAGAAAGCCATTGGCCCAGCTTGCCTGCTTGAACACTAGCACTAGATTATTTATCTAAGAATCCACAGTAGCAGAAAAAAAGGAGTGCAAAGCTTGATAATGACATCTGTAAATGTTATTGTCTATGTTGGCTATTTACCACTCTCACTTTTACCACACCTATCATGGCTGTCTCTGGAATGTTTTCTTCTGCTTAAACAGCATGAGAACATGGTAAAATCTTACTAATTCTCTATTTCCACCTTAAGAAAATTAAGGAGCATGAGAAACGTGACTCACAAGAAGAGCCTCTTTGGCCTGTCTTGCTCCTTTGATTGTATAAATTAAAATCAAAATGAATCATTCAAAATGAGTCCAAAGTTTTGGCCACAACCATGTTGCTATGAAGCCCCATCAAGCTGCTCACAACTCATTGTGAGAAAAATAATTTAGTTTTCATTTATTCACCTGTTCTACACAGAAGAGATTTAGTTGCATTAATTAATTACAATCAATCAAATAAATAAATTACCAAAGGCTTTTCACAAATTGTGAACTGCACAGAATTATGAAGCAGTTAATACTACAATAAACTAATGGGTTTGTGGTAAATTAACTATAACAGATCTTTGACAAGGGTTGGCCATTGTGAGTCTAGCATTCCAGCTTTCTGATGTCACAAGCTGTCAGGATTTCCAGGTTTGGTGTTGGATCCTAGCAGTGGGAATATAAAAAGTTGTGAAAGTGTGTAACAGTAACTGGGAGGAAGAAAACAGTTTGAACTAAATAAAATTATGTAACATAATATGAACATTGGCAGCCCTATTAGGGGCTATTAGGCAAGTCATTCCACAATTTAGAAGCCCTGTATTTAAAGGTTTTGCTGCCAAAAGTTATTTGGTAAATTCTCTCCACTACTAGGTAACTCTTGGATTGAAATGCTGTATTAAGTGTGCATTTTGTTAGCAATTCACTTCAATATGGAGGAGTCCACTCCTATAATGAACTGGGAGCCAAAGAGGCTAACATTTGAGTTACAGTCTTCTTTTTGAGAAAGAAGAGTTGAGAAGTAGCATTTGAACATGCTGAAGTCTTGTTATGTGAATATGTACGCATATTGTATTGTATATGTAGAGTAATATGGGTATTGTATAGATATACATAATATATATTCTCATATATTGTATGAGAATTGCCCGAGACCATAAATCTTAGTTATTGCTCTTCTTTGAAGTCTCAAAATAAAACTATTTCAAAATAAAATAATAAAAAGCCATATTACTCTTGTACTAGTATAGTAAACATGAAAATGAACACAATATTCGAAACTTAGTCTCACTACTGTGTTGTAAAACATGAGCATAGCTTTCCTTAGTTTAAAGTCCCCACTTTTTGCTACATACAAACTTTTTCCATTTATCTAGTGTGATCCCAAAGCACGACTTGGTCTAAGCTTTGTCACTCCCATACAGTTGCTTTCCTAAGTGGGTTCAGACAGCAGTGTAAAACTCCACTGCAAAACTGCATAAGACTTTAAGCTGCAGATCAGAACATCAGTCTAATCATTTTCTAACAGGGTCATCCAATACAGGGTCACAATGGAACTGGACTCACACACAAACATACACACTCACCCCCAGAAGCCAACTGATGTACCAGGATAGTGAGAGGAAACAAGGTCCCAGAGAAAACCCATATGAACATACACAATTGCAGATAACAATCTCAGATCTGGAATTAAACCCAGGTCCTTACAGCTGCTAGGCAGCAAGGATAACCACTGAACCATCATGCCACCCCCGATCAAACATCTAGTTTTAATTTTGATTAAATGTTTTGATTTCAGGGAAGCATGACAAGAACATTGTTTCAAATCTCATTTTATTTCTTATTTCTCTGTTTTTTAGTTCATGCGAAATATTGTTGCTTTAATATTTGGTTTTACTTTGCATTGTAAGTAAATATATAAATGTTTTGATCCCCTGTCTTATGTTGCCATTGGGCTTAAAGAAACTAAAGCAGATTAAGAGAACACAGTAAACAGAGTACAGTTAAATGCTCAGATTGAGGCAATTTAGTTAATAGAGTACTATGGGAATAGGGACCGGGACCACTCATATTCCCTAATGTATATCAATGATCTAGATACTGGTATTGTTAGGAAACTAGTCAAATTTGCAGCTGTTACCTGAATAGTAGGATCAGCAAATGCTGTACAAGTAGAAAATGAAATTAAAACAGATTTAGATGAAGACTGGGCAAACACCTGGCAGATGACATTTAATGTAAGCACGTACACACATATTACATGCAGTGTGTCAGGATATAGGGTAAAGTTGTAGAGAGTGTCATTTTAGATAAACCTCCCTGGACTTTCCATTTTATCTGTTTGTAGTAGAGGGATTTCATAAGGAGGGGCTGGTTCTGTTGTAGGGTTTCCTGAATTAATTGAGTGCAAGTGATGTTCATAGTGTATATAATGGTGAATTATTTGAGCCAAATGGGAAGCTATATGGCAGAAAAAAATAGAAACCTTTTTTTGATGAGAATATTGAACTGCAGGGAAATTTAAGACTGATTTTTTTCCTTCTACCATAAGACTGCATAGTAAATATACATAGTCAACAGTGACTGGACGATTCATCAAGAGTGAGGTAAGTATCCCAACATATGGATCATAGTATCAATACATAAACAGACATAGAAAAGACATATCATCTGTAATCTTTATCAAACGTTTGTATCAAATTTGTGAGAGGGGGATCTGATTTAAAATCTCCTGTTCACTGGGTCTTTTTTCTAAGTACAACATTTTTAAACCTGATATCCAAAATATTGTCTTATTTATAATGTTGTTTTATTCATAAATGAATACACTTAGTAATAACAGACTGATGAAAAGGTGTATTTATTGAATTAATGCACTTCCCAAAACCCCCTCTCTCAGATTAATTACTCTTGTTAACACTTTAGTTTAGAGCTCCATCAATAAATGTACAGTATATAGTGACTTTTCCGTCACTTTATTAATACTTATTAAAATATTTTCTGGACTGAACCCCCACAAAATCTTACTGAATGTTTACCATGGTAAAACTGCATGACATTACTAGGGTCCTCCTAGGTTTCCCATACTTATGCCCATACTCATACTGTACTTATTCACATTCTCATCATACTTACAGACGGGCTTTAACATGGTTTCTTAAAGTATGAATGAAGCTTTATGATTTCTTTCTGTGCTTCAGTATCCTTTCTCTGTGTTGCATTACAATTTACTCTGCTTGTAACATGGTACACCACAGTAAAGCTACAGAAGGGGAAGCACACTGGCAAACCCAAATAAGCAAAACAAAACAGCATACAACAATGGGTAAAATTCTCCCTCATCATCTCCACATTAACACTCCCCCAACCAAAACCGGTTGTGAATTTACTATTCTGTTAAAATCAAAATCTACTGTATTGCATGCAACAGAAAAACAGGTTTTGTGTGGTTTCGAAAAGGAAACATAAGCATTGGCTTGATAGCCTCTAATTTTGCTACATTTGAGATTAACTTTAATAAATGTTCATAAAAAGGACAAAATGCAGGAAATGTAGGAAAATGACACTTTCCTTTTTCATACATGGCATTAAATGAATGTTTGCAAAAAGAGCAGAAAGGTTGAAACTCCATCATCATAAAAGAAAAAACAAACCCTTCAACTTAGCCCCATTATGAATATGAGGAACAAATATACTTTTCTGCAGTCTTAATCACTTTACACCCCTTCCTCCATCCCATCCAGGCCATTGCATCACCCCCTTGGCTCCTCTTCAGAGTCCCATAGTCCAAGTGTTATGGCCAAGCTACGTTTCCTCCAGCCACTGTGGTTTTATTAAGTTGCCAAAGCTGTAAAATATTGCACACCAAAGGAAAAACAACCACTGCATACATGTGTTCAGCATCATCAACCTGTTACTGTGTACTGCAGACATGTTGGATGTGCTCTTCCAACAGTGAGGTATTAAATAGTAGAGCCTGCACAACAATGCACTCTCCTTATCACAGTCCTATCCAGAATGAAGATCAATAGCACCTTGGATTGAACACAGGTATTCCGTACGTAAGCTGCTTGCTTCCTGTGATCACCTTGTGATCCCCAAATCAAAAGAGCGATTTTATTTCTAAATTGAGTATTTTCTTGCATATGTTGAAGAGACATTTCTACTTATCCTGTTTAGTCCAACACATTGTGTCTGAAAATACTACTGTAAACTGAATGACACAAGGGAATATATCAATGTTACATGTTTTAACAATATAACACCTGAGCACTGCCTTTTAGAGCATGTGCACTGCTGTCTGAATGATCCTATGTCCTATGTTTGATCACCTTAATACTGTTCATTTTCTTAATGTATAGTAACAGCTAAGAATCTAGATTTTATTGGTAGCACAGTAAAGACATACAGTATTTGCACTAGTTGATCCTGATGAATGACAAGAAGTTTTATAACTGCAAATAGTTTTGAAGGATCCATTCATAAATAAAGTGAAAGTCATGAAAAGATTTCATACTGGTTGACCAGCTGAGGGAAACTATAACTGCAATACACCCAGGAGGACAGGTCAGTAGTGTGAGAATGTAACACTTTCCCATCTGTTTTTTAAAGTCTGTAAAATAAAAGATTTTACTTTACTGGACAAAATGTTTTTTTCAGTCACATCTATCCAGCCAACTGTCAAGTGTGACGACTACTTAAAACAAATCTTTAAAAACATAGTTCAGACACAAACCATCTGAGAAAAGGGCTCTCATTAATGTATCACAGAAAAAAGTCAATTTAAGGGCAGGAAATCTTTCAGAACTTCAGAATTAAAATTGCAGTTGTGGATAACAAGTCTCGATGTGAAACAGACCTACAGGGCTTTGAAAAAGTATTTATTCCCTTGGACAATTCCCACATTTTGTTGCTTTCTGTTCTTGCAATCAAGACACTTTTAAATAGGACTTTGATTTAGAATATTTACAATCTACTCCAAACTGAGAAAGCTAGAAATATTGATAGTATTTAAACATATAAAAAATATCAGAAGATTCTTAATTAAGTATTAACCTCTAACCATAAGTATTCAACCTCTTTGCAATGGCAACCATAATTTGAGGTTCAAGTTTTCATAGTCACAAAATTAGTGTAATGATCTGTGTTAAGCGACGTGGATTAACATTACTTCAGAGTAAATACATCTTTCTAGGTACATTCCCTCAAGCAATATCGATTTTCAAACCAAATCTCACATACAGATATGAAAAAAAGACAATCTACTGTACTTGAAACAAGTCAAGGGATAAAGCGTCCATGATTCGACCATAAAAAGTGCACTTTAACACAGAGATTTACATCAAATGGAGCAGCCAGGAAAGCAGGAAACCTGATGAGGATGCTGCTGTGAAGCTTACTGTAAAATATTTGCACAGTTCCATCCAAGATGGGAGTCACTGTTCATATATCAACAATACCCTGGTCCCTAAACAAATTTTGCTGGCACAGGTGAGAAAAGAAAAAAAAAGTAAGAAAAAATAGACTACTGAAAAAGACTCATCTTAAATCCTGGATGTAACAGACTGTAGATGAAGTGGATGGTTTTATAGTTAGACAAGACAGAAATCAAAATATTTGTCTAAACAAAGCCTACGTAAGTGCAGGACAGTAAGTCCAAAACATCAGATCATTGAGTCAGCACTATTCCAGCAAGCATGGTGGTGGCATCAACATGTTATGGATTAAGAAGCCTAGGGAAAATCGATGAAGCAAAGTACAGGTGCATCAAAAGAAAAATCTGCATGAATCAGGCTAAAATCTAAGTTGCACTGAAAATCCACATTTCAGCATGTTAATTATCTGAGGCTCAATACCAAAACCATACTGGAGAGGTATGAGAAGAAGAGAGCGATTGTTCTTGAGAGGCACAGTTAACATCCTGATTTAAATCCAATTGAATACATATGGTGAGACCAGAGAATTGCAGTCTATCTGGAATGCCAAACAATCATGTCAGAACTGGAGCAATTTTGCCAGGAAAAATCTTTAAAGGTGGTACAGACTTCTCCAGAATACTGACAGTAGTAGCTGTTGCGAAAGGTGCTTCCACCACCTTCTGAAGCTGTGATAAAAGATGCAGTACATAAGTGGCTTAGGAGTATGAATCAGTCATTTTATTTTGTATATATGTATGAAATTTGTATTTCTTTTAATCAATGTAAATTAATTGACAATCCCTTTTAAATTTATATATCTTCTTTGTAAGTTATTGTGACATTCAATCTTCTTGTTTAACAGTGCTAAAAAAAGTTTTAAATTAAAATGTTAATTTGTAAAAAAAATAGCCTATATGATCTGTAATTAATGAAAATTTGAGATTATTGATGGGGTGAATACATTTGCAAGGAATTGCCCATTATTGGGTGTGAGCATTACTATCACATCACTAGAGGTTGCACTAGATTTTGCTTAATGAGTGGTCAGGTATATATCAAATTCACCCATTTTAATGAAAATGTTGTGTTCTACTTGGGTAATTAGTGGCGTATTTGTTCTACTACTGACCTAGACTATACTTGTACCTAATACTAAACTATATACAGTACTCGTACCTTGCCATCTTTGTTTTTTTGTGTGTAGAGTTGCTTCATTCAAGTGATCCTGTACAGAGATTGTGACATATTCCAGAAACTATTCTCACTGCTAATACCTACCAAACTGCTGCTTACCTTAATGACCAATGATTTTATATTCCAGAATAACTTTTTAAAAAGATGCATATTATGGACAGACTTGCTGTAGAGTAATGTTTAGAGGAAAGTTCTACATTATGAAGACCTGGCATACCTCTGCCTCCCTTAACCCTTAATTTGTCCTGTTGAGATAAAATACAATTTTTCTGTTTTAAAGACTTTGTTTTTCCAAGAAAGAAAACAAAGTATCTTCTAAAACTGCATCCATAAGTTGTAAACACTTCCAACTGATTAACAGCAGAAAATGAGAAGTTAGCTTCACTGGATTGATAAGTCATACTGAGCCAAGCAGATCTCTCCTGGGCATACAATGCCCAAGAGAAATTTGAAAGATTAAAGGCTGAAGTCCCATTTTGCTGTTGTTTCTGAAAAAAAGCTTTAACACAAACATTCCTGTTGCAGTATGTTTTGGGGGCATTCATAATGTTTGGCATGGTGAGCAAGTTTCCACAAAGTCTAATGATAAATACTGGAAAATAGTTAATACCTTTTCCTTGATATAATTTAGATGAATAAAACAGTCCTCCGTATGCTTATTAGAAATGAGCCATGTTAAAATAAAGAAAGCTAATTTCTGTATTTTGTTGTTCGAGTGCTTGTTTACATCTTGCGGTTATCGATTACGGACATCAACATGGGGCCGCTGGGTGCAGGGCTGGGGGAAGACATGTCTGGGTAAGGCTGCAGGCCCATCTGCTTGTTGTCCTTCAGCTTCTGAATGACAACTCTGCAGAACTCCTCTGCCTGCTTGTCACAGGTGTCCAGCAGCTGCCTGACTTTGGCTGTCCTGGTGGGCTTGGTGGAGATCAGCTCGTAGTCTTCTCGCATGAGGAGCTCCCTAGACAGAAGGGCATCCAGGGACTGGTTCAGACAAGCCTCAGTCATCTGTGTCACAATGTCCTCCCTCTTCACCTGGATCCACTGAGCGGCTGGGCCTGGCTGTGTACACTGCGGGACAAAACCTAAAACGAGATTCAGAAGATTGCACAGTAAGATGGTGAGGCTGCAAAGCTCAGAATGTTTCGCTAGAGGTGCAAAAATCACTGAAAACAGCAGGGACATTTTCAGACGTTTTGTGGTGAAGGGAATGAACTGCACAGCCAGTTTGCAGAATCTCACGCTCAAGGATTGTTTGAAGATGCCAGCAAGATTAGATTTTAGGATGCATATCTACTAGTCACAAAATGAGCAAGATGTATTGAATGTCTTTCTCTTGTTTTTAACCATTTTGTTTGTTCATGGAAAGAATAAATGACATTAACAGCCATTTAGCAAAAAAAAGTGATTTACAGGGACTAGGGGAGTAAATTAGAGCATCAACAGCTGCTACTGCAATCTCTGACACCAGGATCTTATTACAGCTCACATGCCAGATGGAGAACATGGCTACATATCTTATTCTGTTATCGTAGCTATTTCCTGAAACTTCATCTTGAGAAAGCTGGCCTTTACACTAGCTTAGTTTTCCATAAGAAAAGTTATAAAAGTGAGAGAGAGGTGTTAATCTTATATACCACAGCTCTTCCGCATTGAAAAAAAGAGCTAATTGTGTAGTCCTGACATGCTGCCAGTCCTTCATTTTTTTACATTGGTGGTATTGTTGAGTGATTATTGGTCAAAAGGGAGATGCAATACCTGCTGTGCATGGCTGCAAAGTCATGTAGCTGAGCTTCTCCTCATACTCTGTTTCTGGGATGCTGGGCTTGAAAGGGATATTGAGGTCTGGCTGATGTTTTGCAGTTTGGTATGTGCCCTCCTGCAGGTTATTCTCCAAACTGGGTGCAATAAGGGACATGGGAAGATCCTGCATTGGGCTGGTCATACAGGACAGAGGATTGGCATCAGAAACACCTGTTTCACAGAAGAAAGACAGAACAATCTATTCTTCCCTCTGTTTAGCTTATATACACAAAAGGGTAAGACCTTCCAAGATATTCATGTTCCTATAAGCTCCAATAAATCTCAAAAGCCTCTGCCCTCAGCCTAGAAAAGCCATTAAGACAATGCAAAACCTTTTATGTTTAAGCAACTAAAAGGCAAAGGTTATAAGAAACAGTTAATTTTGACATTTAAATAAACTGCTTTGTAAGGACAAATATAACAGGGCATGAAAACAAAATGCACACATTTGGTCAACTACAGACAGACTTTTGTTTAACAAATCTGGCAGCCTCTGTGACAAAAGCCTCGTTCTTAATGAACTTGAACTTTATTGCCATATGTAACCGGTACTGGTACAATTCTTACTTACAGAAAGTCTCTCGATTGTAAAACAAGTGTAAAAAACAAAACAAAGTGCAAACAGTGCATCAAGACAATATACAAACAAACAGTAGACAATGTGCAAGTAAACATGTAGACAGTTTGAATGTAAACAATACAGACGTGTAAACAATGACTGGAGATGTGCAAGAGGTAAGAAATCATAAAGAGGTAGATGGTGATGATGTTGGTGTGGTCCGAGGGGGATGGCTAAATGTGTTAGCCAATCTCACTGCTTGTGGATAGGAGCTATTGAAGAATCTAGTGGTAAGTGTCCGTATGCTCTTATATCTCTTGCCTGAGGGCAGTGGGGTGAAGAGCTCATGCCCGGGGTAGTGACTGTCCTCTGTGATGGCCAGAATTCTACCACGGCAGTGGTCTTCATAGAGCTGTTTAATCTCGGTGAGACTGCAGCCGATGATCTTCTGGGCCATATTGATCATTCTCTGCAGTGCCTTTCTTTCTCACGAAGAGGTGTTGCCATACCACACGGTGATCCCGTTGGTGAGGATGCTCTCGATGGTGCAGGGGTAGAAGTTCACCAGCACATGTATTGGCATCCCCCATCGCTTGAGGCACCTCAAGAAATAAAGGCGCTGCTGAGCCTTCTTCATGATAGAGTCAGTGTTCACAGTCCAGGTTAGATCTTTAGAGATGTGAATTCCCAAAAACCTAAAGCTGGTGACTGTTTCCACTTCCGTTCCATCAATACTGAGTGGGCTGCGAGTGTGTGGCCTGTGTCTCCCAAAGTCCACTATTAGCTCTTTCGTTTTCTTTACGTTCAAGTCCAGGTTATTGCTATGACACCACCTAAGCAGCTGTACGACTTCATCCCTGTAAGTGGACTCGTCATCATCACTGAACAGTCCTATTATAGTGGTGTCATCTGCAAACTTAATGATGCGGTTATTGCTGTGTCTTGCTGTGCAGTCGTGAGTGAACAGGGAGTACAACCTTGGACTCAGACAGCAGCCTTGTGGGGTTCCAGTGCTCAGGGTGAGTGGTGTTGATGTTTTATTGCCTATCCGCACCACCTGTGGTCTCTCGATAAGAAAGTTCAGCAGCCAGTTGCAGACAGAGTTGCACAGACCTAATCCCCTGAGCTTTGATGCTACTAGACGGGGTGATGTTAGAAGAGAACAAAGACTGACTAGCAGCTGCAGTAACCCCTTGAGGGGTTGGAGAACGACAACCCCGGAGGGGATAGTGAGAAGAATACCCTGTGAGGAAAGAGTGAGAAGGGAGACTGACAGACAAAGTTTGGGAGAAACTGACATACAACATGGAGCTTAATGAGGTCAATGGATGATTTCAAGTTCAAGTTCAAGTGTATTGTCATTATACTCATACACAGGTATATGGTATAACGAAATGCTATTTAGCTAGCTCTCAGACGGTAAGCAGTACAAAAAAACAACAATACAACTGAAAAGAAAAGAAAGACAGAGACAACAGGTAATGTGCAAAACAACAACAGGCAACACTGGAACACATAAATACCTCAAAGACTCAGTTACTGTACCTGCATTTGTGCGTGGAAGTATGTTATATTGACTTTTGTTTGGCTGCTCCAACTGCTTTAAATCTAGTTCACAAGGACATTCTTCACTTTCTGAAAGGTAAGAAAAAACAGCACAATTACATTGAGATAGCACGACTAAAAGTAATGGTTTATGTCATCAGTATTTTATACTGTAGTCTGCCATACTTCACTGTATATGCCACTTAAGGTGTGTGGTACAAACTAATTCTATTAAATGTCTTTTACGTTTATTCCATTCACTAGATGTGTCTACTTTTCTGTATAATGGAGATACTACTGTTGATAGCTGGCATACACTGAGACTTCAAGCACACAAACTCCCACAGTTAAGTGCAAGAATGCTTTTAAAGCATCCTTAAAGTTGGCACAAGTTCAAAGCACCCCAGTGACACTGAGGCTTGACTGAAGGTGGTGGGACAAAAATACCAACCTAAGTGAAACGGTGATTTCATTGAGCAAAGAACCTGAAACACAAACCACAAAGAAACTGTTGCAAAGATAAGGATGAAATCTAGTTGAGGGTCGAATGATTCCCTTGTTTACGTTCTCCACTGATCTCAGTAACTGAACTGAATTTGGATAAACAGATATATACGAGTTAAAGGTCTGAATGAGTTCATTTCAATGAGTACCAATGAAAACTGCAAGATGTTCAAAGAATTGGAATTTACCATCCCCAATTTTACTTAACTGGGTTAAGTAAACCCATGTTGGGTACAACATGGAGATCACATGTGCACCAGTACAGAATTCCCCAGGCAAATCTGCGAGGCAAACCTGCCTTTGGAAGCCGGTGCACTGCTGATAGTCAGGAACTGGGGCTGAGACATCTCTGCTTCCTGTGAGGAGCAAGATCCAGAGGCAGAGCTTGTTTCCTGAGGAGTACATAGAGGGAATCAGAATGACAGAAAACAGTATAGAGCTTATTTATGGATTTATTACATATTTAGTTTGCTACACAGTTTCCCCACAGATTGTTAAAGAATCTTTTTATTAAACAATCTTTATCCCTACATCACTCTGCTTTAGACTTACTAAGACTTCTCTCTACTTTATTATATTTGACTCTATTTTTACCATAGCTGTGTGGCAAAGCTTTAGAAATGATATTCATGAGCCCAGTGGTTATTTGCCTAAGTGCAAACTCAGCCTATAACCCTAATTAGTTCAGGAGCAAAGAAACTTGGATCAATGTTTTTTATAAATCACCTCTCAGATTTCAGAATCATGGAATCCAATTCACAACTGAAAATTATAATAATGATTATTACATTAAAAACTAAATTGGAATACACTAGATATATTACTATAAATTGGCAACACAGATGACAAACAAATGTTTAGTAACTGACTACTAATCAGAAAATACCCATAATAAGTATTCTCAGTCACAAGACACATTTTTCTAAGTACACAGGTTCAATTAAGTAGCACAGTTGCAGAAAGGGACTATACATTGTTTGTTCTGAAACAAACGTGTTTTCCTTTGACTTCAAACAAATATGAATAATATTTTAATAATACTATAATATACCTAACTTATTAAAAGTGTGGCGTGGTTAATGGTTGTATTGAAACATAATCTCCTTCAGTATTTGTAAATCAAACCGACTGTATTTGGAGTGGGGCAATAATGGAAAACACCACAGCCATTTCATTTTTAACAGAGGCAACTGAAAAAGGTTTTACAGAAAAGGGCTGTCGTACTCTTATAATAATAATAATAAACTTTATTTTATATAGCGCCTTTAAAGGTGGCTTCTCAAAGCGCTTTAAAGGATGACAATAACAATAAATAAGAAGACTACAACAATAAATAAGAAAATTTCACAAGACAGGACACAATTATAATTACAACAATACAACAATAACAATAGAGGAGACCGTGGAAGATGGTATTAAGAAGAGCAGAGGGGTGAAGAATGGAACCAGTTAAGTAAAGGCTTTTCTGAAAAGGAGGGTTTTGAGTCTGGATTTGAAGGAGTTTAGAGAAGGTGACTCTCTAATATCCTTGGGCAAGGAGTTCCAGAGCTTGGGGGCATAGCAGGAGAAGGCCCTGTCGCCCATACAATGTAGACTGGCTTGGGGGACAGTAAGGAGGGCAGAATTTGAAGAGCGGAGGTTGCGAGGTGGGGAGTAGGGCGATAAAAGTTCAGACAGGTACTGAGGTGCCAAGCCATGTAAAGCCTTGTAGGTGAGCATGAGGATTTTAAAGTCTACGCGGAATTTGACCGGAAGCCAGTGCAAGGACTCCAGGATAGGAGTAATGTGAACACTTGCACTAGATCTGGTCAGGATTCTGGCTGCTGAATTTTGGACATACTGCAGCTTGTTCAGAGTAGATTTAGATACCCCAGGGAGCAGAGCATTGCAGTAGTCAATTCGAGAGAATACAAATATGTTGATCAGCTTTTCAGCCACAGTTAATGATAGCATAGGGCGTAGTCTTGCGATATTTCTAAGGTGAAAAAAAGATGTTTTGACAGTATGCTGTACATGTGGGTCGAATGTTAAGCCAGAATCGAATATAACCCCAAGGTTTTTCAATTTTGATTGGAGCTCAAGTACAGAGCCATCTACAGACAGGGTTACAGGACTGGCTTTACGAAGTTGATGGGGGGTACCAATAAGCATGACTTCAGTCTTGTCACAGTTAAGATGAAGGAAGTTTTGAGTCATCCAAATTTTTATGTCAGAGATGCAATTAGATAGAATAGAGACAGCCACATCAGTGTCGGGTTTGGTATGGATGTATATTTGAGTATCGTCAGCGTAAAAATGAAAGCTTTTTTTTTTACGCTGTGTTAAGAGTTAAAATGTTAAAACTCTTAACATTTTTTTAACAAATGCAGTTTGGTTTTCAATGAAAAGTCTACACACAAGAACACTAAGATGACAGAAGACAAAAACAAAACTGACCAGCCAAGGAATGTTGTCTTTTATTATATTTAGAGTTTTTTCTTCTTTGGAGAATTTCTTCTCACGTAAAGATCCTGAGGAATAAGCATGCCTGCTAAATAACTAGAAAAAGAAAACAGAAAATGCAGGAATCACAATGAAATAAAAATCAAAAGCTGACTGCCAGGTTCAAACTCTGTATAGCCTCAATGCTCACTCATGGGTCATTTTAATGCATTTTCCTGATGCTTATGTGCAAGTTACATGTATAGCCATTTATATATAGTTAGACATTTTACTGAAGTAATCTAAGTGATGGAGTTTTCTCTGTGGTACAAAAAGATTCCAGTTACGAGTTCAGAGCCCTAACTACTCCTCCACATGAAACAAAAGAAACTGAGACAAATCAGAAAGATAGGTAAAAGAAAACATTTACAGAAAAATCTCCAAAAAGTAAAAGAGAAAGTGGTTTGCTACTACAAAAATGAATTACGGTACCTACAGTATATGGTAGGCTGCCTTGTCAAAATGGAGTAACAACAAAGGGGTTTTCATAGACTAGTATATAATTAATGTACATACTTCACCCGTGTTCATAATTAGAGCATAAAATATAAGTAATTGAGAGGCTGGAGCCTGGGCTCCCACTATAGACAATAAGGAAAGAGCAGCAGCCAAACATTTTCAGTGTCTGGATTTCTTCCAAATCTCCCACCCTTTTCCTCAAGACTTTCAGCTCCCCCTCACTCTCAGTCTGTCTCTCAATTTGCCCTATTCTCTCCAACTGCTGTGACCCAGATTCATGTGAGAATTTCATTCAATTCGTACTTTAATTCCATACATTGAATTACAAAAAGGTTTAGTCTTTGAGGCTATAGTCTTTAGTCAGGAAGGCAACCTGCTGTGCAACTGTAAACGTACAGTATTTCTAAGGTTTAATAGCAAAATTCTTTAAAATTATTATCTTGTATTTGCTTTTTAAACTCATTTTAGGGAGGTGAAAAATTATAAACGTGATTTCAGTTTACTGAATTCTGTTATGTTTTATTCCGGGTCATTACTGAAAAAAACAGCACACAAGGATGTACTTACTTTAGCTTTTTTCACTTCCAGCACAGCTTCTAGAACCATGATTTCATCAAATCTTCTAACCATAGGCTCCAGTTCAATCAAACACTCTTCAGGAGAAAATAGTAAACACTGCTTAACTAATCATCATGGTGCTTCTTCTCTTAATTTCTAAAATCTGTACAATTAAAAAAGTGATTGTTGTAATGTCAAAAGGTTTTGTTTTACTTATACCATGTTTTTTGGTACAATACTTGGATGCACATACTGTAGCTTGAATAATTATACAAATACACAACAAAGACACCCACAAAGACATGAATCTCATAAAAGAAATGTACAGATTTGTGATATTAATTCAATTACCCATAGAATACTTAACTCTCTGGGTGGCCTACATTTTCAAGAATTATGGCTCCTGATTTACTAAGAGGAAGTGCATTTATTAACAAGAACAGGAGGCACATCTTTCCAAAAAGAGTTATTCTGAATTGCCTCTCCCTGATTTGAACTTTTCTAATGGTTTTATATTTATGATCAAAATGAGATTTCACTAAGAAGAGTTTTCTTCATTCAGTATATAATAAACTCAGCAGTAAATACTACGTATACAGTATACCTTTCGTTAGTGACTTACTCAGAAATGAAGGGCGGTCGTCTGGGTTACTGGCCCAGCCACAGCTCATCAGGTCGATAAGAGTGTCTCTGCTGGGAATCTCAATCGGCAGGCTCTCAGGGCCTGTGTCAGGTCGGCTTCCTCGCAAAACGCTAAACATGATCTGCATGGGGTTAGTAGCTTCTGTGCCAAAAATTAACAAATAGGAACGTGAATTTTCAAAGAGCCGCCCTCCAAACACACTAAGCAATGCTTTAAAAAATAAAGATATATTAACCTCCTGTGCTACCTTGTACTGTACAGTGCCCTCCTGATTTATTCATACCCCGATTAAAAACTTTATCCAATCTGTTAATCCTTCTGTTATTTATGTTTATTCTTCCTTTTTCATCAGGTATATATGCAGAGCTAATTCATGAAATGGGTTTTATATTTAACACCAAAACATAAAAAGTACAATACCACTAAACTGAGATTTCAAGGTTTCAAGGGAAGGACTCAGGTGCTGAATCTTAGTAGAACTCACACATAATTAGTTAAATAGTACTAAAACTGTACCACAGCTGATATCATAATCTAATTAACACTCATGTCCTTCATCTGAAACAGATAAAAATATAAAAATTTCTGAAGACAAAAGTGAGTGTTTTTATTTCATTTGGGAAAAAAACAAGACTTTGCTGTTACCTTCAAAAGGTATTTTTCTTGACAAAACTTCCCACATAATTATCGAATAACTGAAAGAAAAAAAACATGAATATTAAAAATTAAGTATCAGAATACTGTATAACATCCAAAGACTTTTGTTCAGTAAGATTCCTCATCTATTTTCCAGTAACTACATGACTCAATCTCACCCTGATGCGCTCAGGTCTTGGTGGCCACCAGTGACTCAGTACAGAACAACTTCTATGGTCTTCTATGGTAATCTATGGTCTGCGAATATGCTCTCTGTTCTTGTATGATTATAAAACCACAACAGAATGAGAGGAATGTCACTTAAGCCTTTGAGTCAAAGAGGCTGTGGAGGTCCTGTCTGATGGCATTGCTGTCTGTATACTGTAAATGAAGCCTTTCAGCCAAGGGATGAGTCTTGTAACTCCTGCCTGAAATCCACTCTGTTCTTCTGCTGTCTGTTTCAAAATGGGAAAACAAGATAGGAAACAAATGTCCAGACACAGTCCTGGTAGAATATTCATTTTTTCACTGATTTGTACAAGAGGATAAATAAAAAAACACCTCTCTCTTTAATAATTCAAAATAACAAAAACATGAAACTTCTGTCAAAAAAGTCTTCTTTATTATGGACAAATTCAAATCTGAAAAAAAGCCATTGTAACTAAAAGTAGAGAAATAAGAAAAAGCAAACAATTGGTAAAATAGTAACTATGCTGCCCATATAAAGTAACTCATTTCATATGTCACTGAGAAAGTAGTGATTAAGCAAATAAAAAAATGTAATTTATGTACAGTAAATTGTGCAATGTACAAAGCAAAAAGCCACGTAAAACCTAAGACTGCATTAAAAAAAATCAAATGCATTAAAATAATCTAATACACAACAAAACTAAATGTGTTTATCTAAAAGACCTTCGGGATTCATTGGATTTTTTCTTTCACTGGTCTGAGTTATACCAGATTATTTTGCTATATGAAATCCAGAATTTCTAGCTGATTACAGTACTCCTAGTAATTGTAACGAACAGTTCTTTCTGGACCCTATGCGGACGACACAATCCGAAGAAGTGGGGAAACACTAGGGAAACATCATGCAGGAATACGGGGCTGAAAACAGGGGGGCGTGTCCAAGGTGCGCTGGTGCACGGGGGAGGTGTGGCCGAGGCAAACAATCCAAGAGAGTAATCCTTAGAGGGTATCCAAAAACACAAGAGTAAGTCCAAAGCCAGGAGATCCATCAAAACAAGGAATTAAAAACCATGAACCGGGTCAGAACCGGCGGACTAGGAACAGGAACAGAGGTTAAAACCTTAACGGGACCAGGCGCTTCCAGGTCCCGGACTCGCATGGTGCGGAAACCAGATGCAGAGCCCGGATGAGCTTCAGCGCCTGACTTTTAAGGTGGGCTGGGAATAGGAAACAGGTGCACAGAATAAAGTCTTAAGTGAAAGGGCTGGAGCACCCTTAAGGAGGGGGGACTATAAGTGACAGTAATTCACCATGAAACCTGAATATTTGCTCATTCTGAAGGCTACACCTGACCAGGAACCATTTTCTTCAAAACCGGCACTCATGACTCTGTCAGTATTCCCTTGGCCACCCGTGAACATTCTCCAGCTACTTTAGTCTCTCCTCAGTTCAACTGCACAATCACCTGCCACTTACTGCCTTAGCACGCAAACGTCATACTGAAGGTCACCTAGTCTGGACTCAAACACAGGACGCTGTGAGGCAGCAGCAATAACTGCCATAGCACCACGTTGTCAATTATTTCATGGACATGGGTAAGAAACAAAAGTAACTTGAAAATTTAGTACTTAATCCTTGTTTCAGATTCTCAAATTAAAGCATTAAATAAACCTACACATACAGTAACACAATGACTACAGACATAAAAGTCAACAATTGATTTTTTTTTATGCCCGGGATGACAGACTCCAACTGGCTTTGCCTATTTCCCTCACTCACTCTGCAAAGATAACCGCAACATGCTTTCTTCAGACTTGTCTTGAGCACAGTTGTGTACTAATGGGAAAATGGAGTTCAGATCTGGAGGAGGTGACAGTAACTCGGTTGAACTAACTCACTCAGGGTGACACCAGGTGAATCAGTGTCAGATTTAAGGACTTGACCAAGAACCTCCAGGTTACAAGTCTGGGTCACCAAAACTCCTTACCTGTACATATCATGCTTTACATCACCTCGTCGGTTCTTGGAGGGCTCATACTCCTCAGGGGGCATATAGATCACTGTACCCCCCATTTCTGGAGGCTTAGAACCAGATGCTTTACTAATGGACAGCTGGCGCCACTTAGAAAGCCCAAAGTCTGCAATCTGTGAAAAGAAAAAAAAGAAAACAAAATGTATCATAGTTACTTTAGGCTGGGCTATTCTTCAAGTTAGTGTAGTTTGTTCACCTTTGAAGTAAATAGTTTTCTTTTCCAAGAGAGCTGCATTATGGTAAAAAATTAAGTACAGTACATCCCTTAAGATTTTATGGTTTAATATACTGTACTTATACATATTTGATCTTCACCTAGTCCTTACCAAATCCTAATAGTAGATAAAAATAACCCTTATTTAGTAAATAGCACACACAAATTCTACTTTGTCACTTTTAAAAAAAAAGCATTCAGTAGGCAGAATCAGATGCACCAAAACATGTGCAAATTATTAGTTAATCATCAGGAAGTGATTCCACCTGTATACAAAATAAGAAACTTTGTCAGTTTAGTCTTACGCACACATTTGTGGTAACACTTTATGCCTAGATCAAAAGAAAACTAGACAGTCTTAGAGAAAGATCTGTTGTAACTTTTCACTCTGAGAAGGGTTACATAGCCATTTCCATACAATATGAAGTCCATCTTTCCACAGTAACAAAGATAATCTTACAATGAAAACATTCAAGACTGTTGCCAATCAACCCAGCAGTGTCCGTCCTACCAAATCCTCTCCAAAATAGGGACCATATGATGCTCCTAAATGTCTCACAAAACTCCAAGGTTACATCCAAGGATCTACAGACACCATCCAGGAAAATATAGAGGGAAGCCAGGAGGAAAGTGTAAAGTAGCAATGCTGATAATTTCTTATAAAACTAAGTAAATTTATTTTGCTTTTTAAATGCTGTTTCTTTCCAAGCAGAATGGCAATGGTCTTGGTCTTTTGTAGTTTCCAGTGGTAAGGCATGTGGTCCAAACGTATGGCAACAATAAGAAACTTCAATACCAAATGTAAAAAATATACACTGCTGTTAATTTATTAATGTGTTAATATGCATAACAAGAGTTCTAAGAACCTGCTTTACACCTCCGTCCATATTATGTCACTAACTCAAATCTTTAATTAAGAATCTGGGCCCCTCCTGTTTCCTTAGAAAAGCAGAATAAAAAAACGAATAAAGCTTCTTCAACAACTGTCTGCCGTTTAAAAGTCAAGATTATGTTGATCTCACTTACAGTATAGCAGTGGTAAAGAAAAAGAAATTAAGATTAAAGCAAAGCAGTAGATAAGAGCAGTAGATTACAGGTTTGTATCTTTTGTTCAGTCTTGCTCCAGTAAAAGTAATCATGTTTTGAACAATCAACCAGGACATTTAATGAAACTATGGCATATGACATGACATATTCAGATTTCCAGAGAGCATTGATAATTTACCTCATAAAAGCCTGATTCTCTAATCTGTAGCCATAGGAATCTAAGGTAATAAATGTAAATGAACCAAGAACTGGTTAACAAATAATAAACGTTTGTTATCTTAAGCCGCATAACTGCTAATAGAGCAGATATAAGCAGTGGAGTGCTGCAAGAATCCCTTTAGTTCCCTTGCACTTCCGGATTTATATCAATGACCTGGATTCCAGAATAGTTACACCGTACATATTGCATGTACAGTGTAGATCCCTGTCAAGAAGTGACACTTGAAAGGAATCTCGATATGCATCTAGATTATTCTTCAAAAAGTGTGGAATTTAATTTTGGTAAAGTTCCACAATGAACTTCTTGTAGAATAAGACCTCATCTAGAAGACTGTGTTGAGTTTTGGTCACCATACCACAAAAAAGATATTACAACCATAGAAAGATTTCAAAAAAGAGCAACAAAAATGATTACATGGTTTCAGGGGACAGGTATGGAAAGGTTGAGAGAGCTAAACCTTTTCAGGCTAGAAAAGAAGAAAATAAGAGATTTACTTCACAATACAAAATAGATATCCTTCTGATATCTGTTATCTGCATAAAGGGAATGTAATCTAGGCCTAGCTTTGCACTGTTTACTGCATCAGAGCCCTGCCTCTACATGCACTCAATCTAACTGCCATGTATAGCAGAGCGGGCATACAGTATGTGAGTGTGGCTGTGTGAGGGTAATGTCAAATGTTTGATATGTCTCCCTTTCCTACTGCTGTATCAGCTAGCAGAAACACATCTTGGCTTGGCACTTTAATGCAAGTGAAATTCACATTGCAATTAGTTTTTCCTCAATTTTGCTATTTGTAATTTCTGACATACTATTTGAATATCTCGGTGTTTCTGTACTGTCAGTGTAAGAATGGAGTATGTGTCTCTAAGTGTACATGTATGTAGTGTCTATGCATCTGTAATGTATTGCGTGTAGATTTGTAAAATATTGTGTTTGCATCACTTCAGGGGTGCTGCACATGTGGCGATGTTGGTTTGCAAGTGCAAATTGTTTGCTTTTTTCTTTTGTTGTTGCTGTCTTTCATGTTTTATGATGCTGTTTATTGGTTGGAAAACAAATGTTTAATTTTTTTTGGCAGCACTGAGTAATTTTATTCACTGTTTTATTTGGATAACATAGGAATTTACTACAGTTAGCACTCACCTATCATGAAAAGGGAATTCATTCTATGTCAACAATACAGTGGAACAGGCATGATCAGACATGTAAAACTGGAATTACAATGTAGAAAATCTCACTCAGACAGTCGATACATTAAAGAAAGAACAAAGCGGGAAAGAGGAAAGAATGGAAAGTTTTTAAGAAAAGAATGTAACTATTAATTAAAAGGAGGCCTCTACCATCAGTGATATTAGATAATGTGCATTCATTGCACAACAAAATGGATGAACTGCAAGCAAGAGTACAGGGGTGTATCTACCCTTACTTTTACAAAGACTATACAACCAGGTCATCAACCAGGACTTGTTTATTAATGGTTTTGAAACACCAGTCCTCCATGATAGAGATAAAGATAGTACCTATAAGGAGAGAGGGATGGGGTCCATCTCTACATTAATCAGAGGTGGTATAAATCTGTAATAGTGTGAGAGAAGGTATGTTTACTAGCTATATAGAGCTTTGGTTGTCTCTCTCCACTCATACTGTACCTTGTGAATTCCCACAACATTTCTTTGTTAGTGTATATCCATCCTTGCGCCAATGCACACAAGGCAGCTGAATACTTCATCAGTGTTATTAATAAATTGGATTCCATCTCTGCTGATGCCCATAAGTTTATTTTGGGGATGTGTATCATTGCTTCCTGGAAAGTGTTTTAGCATATCACCAGTACGTCAACTGCGATACACACCGTAAGCAAATCCTTGACAAAAGCTATGGCTCTCTCCCTGGAGCATACAGTATAGGTTATTCTCTATGCCTGGCCTTGATGCTGCTGACCATAATAGCACCCTGCTTGCTACTGCCTACAAGCCACTAGTCAAGCGCATAGAGGCAGTTGTGAAAATGGTTAAAGTATCAGAGTATCAAAGCATCAGAGTCAAATACTGACAATCTGAAAGACTGCCTTGACTGCACTTATTTGGATATTCTCATAGCGTCATGCTTGGATGTTACTGAACAAGTATGAAATAATATCTTCATACATTACTTTCTGTGTTTATAAAGAAGTCCATCATTAATGTATATAACTGTATATAAATGTATATAACTGAATAATAAGCCATGGGTCACCAAAGTCCTCAAATGTATCCTTAATAAAAAGAATAGGCTATTTTACTGTGGAACACTCAAGGAAATAAAAAAGTAAATAAAGAATTAAAAATGCAATACGGCACACACAAATGACCTAAAAAATAAATTAGAGGAGTAATTTAAGCAAAGGAATCTCTGCACGGCCTTGCAGTAGTGAATTGCTGCAATGAATGTCAATTAGGGCTGCAAATTCATCCTATTGGATGTTTAATAAGGTGAATAAGTGAATAAGGTCAACAAAGCAGCAGTTCCAGATTCTGGCAGAACAGTAAAGTATTAATAATAATAATAATAATAATAATAAACTTTATTTTATATAGCGCCTTTAAAGGTGGCTTCTCAAAGCACTTTACAGGATGACAATAACAATAAATAAGAAGACTACAACAATAAATAAGAAAATTTCACAAGACAGGACACAATTATAATTACAACAATACAACAATAACAATAGAGGAGACCGTGGAAGATGGTATTAAGAAGAGCAGAGGGGTGAAGAATGGAACCAGTTAAGTAAAGGCTTTTCTGGTTGCGAGGTGGGGAGTAGGGCGATAAAAGTTCAGACAGGTATTGAGGTGCCAAGCCATGTAAAGCCTTGTAGGTGAGCATGAAGATTTTAAAGTCTACGCGGAATTTGACCGGAAGCCAGTGCAAGGACTCCAGGATAGGAGTAATGTGAACACTTGCACTAGACCTGGTCAGGATTCTGGCTGCTGAATTTTGGACATACTGCAGCTTGTTCAGAGTAGATTTAGATACCCCAGGGAGCAGAGCATTGCAGTAGTCAATTCGAGAGAATACAAATATGTTGATCAGCTTTTCAGCCACAGTTAATGATAGCATAGGGCGTAGTCTTGCGATATTTCTAAGGTGAAAAAAAGATGTTTTGACAGTATGCTGTACATGTGGGTCGAATGTTAAGCCAGAATCGAATATAACCCCAAGGTTTTTCAATTTTGATTGGAGCTCAAGTACAGAGCCATCTACAGACAGGGTTACAGGACTGGCTTTACGAAGTTGATGGGGGGTACCAATAAGCATGACTTCAGTCTTGTCACAGTTAAGATGAAGGAAGTTTTGAGTCATCCAAATTTTTATGTCAGAGATGCAATTAGATAGAATAGAGACAGCCACATCAGTGTCGGGTTTGGTATGGATGTATATTTGAGTATCGTCAGCGTAAAAATGAAAGCTGAGGCCATGTGATCTTAAAAGCTGACCAAGTGGGAACATGTAAATGCTGAAGAGCAAGTATTGTGATGCAGAACTGAGTGGAGTGTTTTAACGCTTATTCCAGCTTCTTCAGTCACTGGCACTGTTCTGTATAAGAACTGTACAGTTGTACTGTACCCGTCACTAAGAAAACAGACCTAAAGATCTTGATTACTTGAGGCCAATAGTTCTATCTCCATTAGAGGTGAAGACTTTTGAAAAACCAGTTAAGTCACATATTGTGGCTACAATATGAGTCAGATCTAGACCCCTTCCAAGTTTGCCTACCATCCTGTAAGACCAGTTAATGATGCTGATTTTTTCTACTAGATGGTCTTTAGAAACATTTAGAGTAGAAAAAGTATTATCTACTATAGACTCCTCTTCGCTGATTTTTCATCAGCCTTTAATACAAAGAAGCCTCACATTTAAGTTGAATAATTTATCTTACTTTTCAAAGTGGATGGATTATTAGTTTCCTGACTAAGAGAACCCAAAATATAGTTACTAATGGGTTGGCATGTGACCCTGTTTGTACTCTTACTGGTTCACCACAAGGCTGCTTTGTTTCTCCTCCCCTTTTCATGTTATACTGTATACTGATAACTGTTGGAGCAACTATGAAACCATTTTGTCACCATGTTTGCTGATGACAGTGTGTCAGTCTCCTCTCAGAGCCTGGACAAACACATGGACCCATTCTGGATGAATCTGTCAAACTGTTGTAATATTTCTTACCTCAAAATGAATGTGTCAAACACAAATTAAATGATTGTTGATTTAAAAAACAAAGCAATATCATTCCAACAATAATCCATGGTGAGTCTGCTGGTATAGTTAGAAATACCTGGACACTGTGTTTGATAATAAACTCAAGTTCATTGAGAACGCTGATGTCATTGTGAATAAATTTCTTACAGTATATGGTTTGAGAAAGAGTTCCTTTGGAGTAAAAATGAATTCTGTCAACATTCTGTTGCAATTTTATTGAAAGTATTTTTTGTCTTTTATCTGTTGATTCACAAGGATTGGACAGAGCCACTCTGCAAATGTACTGTACATGTATTTCAATACTTTCTTAAATATTTCATGGGCTGTTTATTATTTTCTCTTGCAGTATAGGACAGAGTCCTTATAATGCACATGCAATTTGTTACTTCATAATCATGTTACGAACTTGCTGTTTTTGTATATCTTATTTTCTTCTTAGAAATGTTGTGATACCATCTTTTTTACCAGTTTTATTTTGACATGTTGTATGTTGTATATTTTTTGCTACTTAAATTGCCACATTTGGGGATGAATAACGTATTTAAATTAAACTGAATTTAATTCATATTCTGCGCATCATGTTTTCATCACCTTTGTGGCTGGATAAGCTGTAGAGTACATCTGCACTATGAAAAGTAATCTGGATGAAAGAACTCCTTGTACAAAGTAAAAAATTCTTATGATAATATAAGTTAATTCAGGAAAATGAGGAAATAAAGAGTGGATACTAGAGAAGCGTTGTCAATAATATAATATTATAATAATATAAATTCACTTCCCTGATCTAAATATAATCCAGAAGCATCTGAATTCATTTCACAATGACCTGGTTTTCTATACTGACATTCTTACTTCATTTTCTTAGAACAGTGTTAATTGCCTGTATCTGACTGTCTGCAGCATTCTCTCACCAGCATTCTCAAGAGGTTTCTTAATGACATACTGTACATGCAATGGATATACAAAGTCTACACACCCTTATCGAAATTGCAGGTTTTTGTGATGTAAAGCCAGAAATCAAGATAAATCATGTCAGACATTTTTCCATCTTTAATGTGACCTTGCAACCAAGAAAATTCAAGAGAAAAACAAATGGATAATTATTAGGAAAAATAATTTAAATTAAAAAACTTACAACACCCTGGTTTCATAAGTGTGCACACCCTTTTATAATGGGGGCTGTAACTGTGTTCAGAGTTAACTAATCACATTCAAAATCATCTCCAAAAGTAAGCAGCATACACCTGCCATCAATGACAGTGATTCTGATTAACCCCAAATAAAAATCAGCTGTTCCTGTACAATTGCCTTGAAACATTCTTGGTTGCATCCTACTGGGAAAGCCATGGTCCGCAAGAAGCTGATTAAACATCTATGGGACCTTATTGTTGAAAGGTACTGATAAGGAGAGGGGTATAAAAGAATATCAAAGGTATTGGATGTACCATGGAGCACTGTGAAGACTATCATCAATAAGTGGAGAAAATGTGGCACCACAGGGACATTGCCAAGATCAGGACGACCCTCGGTAAGTTGATGACAGGACAAGGAGAAAACTTATCAGGGAGACTACTAAGATGCCTACAACAACATTCAAGGAACTGCAAGAATTTCTGGCAGGTACTGGTCACTCCTTGCATGTGACAACAATCTCCCATTTTCTGCACACGTCTGGGCTATGTGGTAGGGTGTCAAGACGGAAGCCATTTCTCACAAAAAAGAACGTCCAAACCTGTCTAAATTTTGCAAAAAAAACATTCAATCACCCATAACCATGTGGGAAAATGTCTTATGGTCTGATGAGACAAAAGTTTAACTTTTTGGTCTTAATTCTAAAACATATGTTTAGTGCAAAGACAACACAGCTCATCATTCAAAGAACACCATACCTACTGTGAAGCATGGTGGTGGCAGCTTGCTTTGGGGCTGCTTCTCTTCAGCTAGGACAGGGGCTTTGGTCAAGATAGATGAGATAACGAGTAGCTCCAAATATCAAGATATTTTGGCACAAAACCTGCTGGCCTCTGTCTGAAAGCTGAAGACGAAGAGGAATTTCACCTTCCAACATGATAATGACTCAAAGCACACATCCAAGTCAGCCAAGGAATGGCTTCAGAAAAGGAAGATCAAAGTCAAGGAATGGCCCGGTCAGAGCCCAGACCTCAATCCCATAGAAATCCTGTGGAATGACCTAAAGAGGGCTGTGCACAGGTGATCCCATGGCAATATGCAGGAGCTTGAACTTTGTTGCAAGGAAGAGTGGGATAAAATTGTAAAGTCCAGGTGTGCAAAGTTGATAGAGACTCAGTCACAAAGACTTACTGCTGTAATAAATGCAAATGATTCCACAAAGTATTAGTTACATTTATGCAACCTGGGTGTTGTAGGTTTTACAATTTCAATTATTTTTCCTAATAATTATCTATTTGTTTTTCTGTGGAATTTTGTTGGTTGTAAGGTTACATTAAAGGTGGAAAATGTCTTTATGCGAGTGCTGTAACATCTATAGTCATAATGGCAGACACAGCACTGCATAAAGAAGCAGGTAACTGTCTTCACACTCCACATGCCTCAGAAAATGCCTGCCATCTTCAGGAAAAACTGAATAACTGAAAAACGCAGAGGAATGAATATGCCGTGAACACTCCATATGATATGAGTTGTAGGTAATACATAAACTCAAACCACTATTAATCAAATAGAATCCTAAAAATTGGTATTCCTAGAATTTAGAAAAAAAATGAAAGATTAAGAGTTAACAGCATGACACAAAGCTCAATAATGAAGTTACACAGTTCGATAAAAAAAGCAAAACTTAACAAAAGTTTGCACAAATGCACACTGGCACAACAGCGAAGAAAGAACTGAAGAATTGCATTACATTGGTTGAAAAGTTAGAAAAAGGCATAAACCATTTCTCTCTACGTTCTTCCTAGTAAATAAATATAAAGCAAATATCTTAATGTAATATATTAATAACAGTTTTAATATACAGACTGAAAAACAGTTCTGAATCTGTGATATTGTGGAAGTTTTTCACTTTTTCAGTTTTTTAAGTTTTTCAGCCATGAAACAATGATAATGAAGTTCACTTCACTTATCTCATTGAGACCCAACTTACAACACTTATGTTATTTCAAAGTATATCAACAGTACATATCTATGCTCGTTTCCTTGAGTAAATTTTAAAGTTATAGACTCTGACAGGATAACATATATTACATCTGTTTGCTGTGAAAATACCAACTCTGGACATACAACATATTAAGAACTTTTATTTAAATGTTTTTATACATCATGTAAAATTATCTAAAAAGACAAGAAAGAGTGTGCCAAATTCTGTAGTCTTGTGGACATCATCTATGGCTCTCAGAAGAACAGTATTAATACAAAAACCCCAAAATACATTTTTCTACCAAGTATGTTCTGCAGTAGTGGTTATGAAGTCAGTCATGAACACTTTGGATGATTTAGTTGGAATTGAAAAATGTCTATATTTCCAAAAGACACTATAGAGAGATAATGTTCAAAGACAAGTTTAACACGACTATGATCAAAAACACTGAAACATTATATTTAAATGATAAATCATAACTTGTAGAAAGCCTTAAGGGCTTTCTCTCATATTTCCTCTACAAAACATGTAAATCATCAAGAACTGTTCAACACAACTAATAGCATGAAATAAATTAATTTTTATATATGCTGATAACATGGATTTATACTTTTTGTTAACTACAGTGCTTGCAGTGCCAAAAAATACTAAACATAAGCTTTCACAGTTTCTGCAATAAGCTAATGACAAAGAATTTCCTAATAAAAAGTCCAGGAAGTGTTGTACAGTACCTTTACATGGAACTCAGCATCCAGCAGAATGTTCTGAGTCTTCAGGTCATGGTGGAGTAATGGGGGGGTCATGTTATGTAGAAAGTTGACCCCCAGGGCAATCTCATAAAGAATCCGCAGTCTCAAGGGCCAGGCAAGCACTGGATACAAATCTTTCTACAAGAAATAGAAACCCACACCCTCTTGAATTGTGAGACAAAAGTACACTGCGTCAATGAATGCAGGAACTATTCATGCAAACCAACCACTAATTATTGAAATGCTGTTTCCCAAAAAACACTTTATTCCACTGGAGCTTCCCATCCTAGAATAACATATGTTCTGTGAATAGGGAATGTAAGTCACTATGAAATAGGACAATCAAAATCTGATGGTGCAATACATGAATCACTATGTAAAGCGAAACAGTGTCTGGACACACAACTGTGATGCATGCACTTTGCTATTAATGACACAACACTTAGAGACTAAGAGGAACTAAGGGTTGGGAGTTTAAGGGGATTTCCAACAAATGAATTTTACAATCTAATACACTTGCACTTGTATAGCACTCTTTAGGCAATGCACTTCAAACAATAATAGAAACCACTAGCTCATCAATCAATCCAATCTAATAACAGACTAAAGCAAATGTGTTTTAAGGATAAGGTTAAGATGCAAAAGAGTCAAGGAACATAACTATGAAAAGACCTTTATGACAGCCCGGCTCAAGAAACCACAGTGTCTTTTACAACTTGCTGTCAGAACAGATTTCAGAAAACCAAGGTCTATTATTTCTTTAAAAAAGGATAGTCCCAGTCCAAGTGTAGGCTTCAGTGCTGAAGTGGTAACTTAGCACATACTGTAATTGTGCTGTAGATGTACATGCCCAAAATAATATATATACATCACACATAATAAAATTTGTGTTGGTCCATGAAAGGCTTCACACACCTCATGCAGAAGGTGGTCTAGTGATCCGTTGCTCATGAACTCTGTGACAATGCAGAAGAATTCAGGCTCATTGCAAACACCAAAAATCTGGATGATGTAGTTGAACCTGGCTTTGTGGAGAACCTCTGCTTCTTTCAACAGGCAGTTCCTTTCCCTGAGGAGAGGGAGGCAAAAAAGATCAATTCAGTACCATACTAATAAAAACTGCTCCCTATGAACCGGACACAAAATAGGAACATATTTTTTTAAGAAAACCTGATATTTATATGTATATTTGTAAAACTTATAAATAAACTGTGATAGAGGCATTATCCTTTTGTATAATGACAGATATATTAATGCATTCTATTCTCTTATTTTAGATTTGGTCCTGGCTACTGTAGCCACACTATGGATTTCACAATGATAAACACTGATCTGTCAGAATTTGCCCATACTTTTAGTGCCTTTTAAGACTAATTTTACAATTGCTGTCACTGGAGAGCAGAACTAGCAGGTACTTTATAACAATGTGGGTTATACAGTCAAAAAATGATGGGGAATTAAGTTATTAGTCACTCAACTGCCCGATTTGCAGAAAGAATTTTCCAAAGAAAGTACTATTGCTTTGTGTACAATGAAAAACATCAAGTCATTTTATATAGAGCTAGGCTGATACTAAATTTAGTAAAAATTTCCAGATCATCTGCATGATCCTGAAAGTAAGGATGAGGGAATAGTTAAAGGTTTTTGGAGATTAAGAAATTACTGAGAAGGATTAACAAAAACTGTAATAGCAGCAAATGAAATTCAAAAACATTTGGATACAACAGAGAACCGGGAAAACACCAGACAGATGATGTGTAATGAACACAATTTGTTTAGGTAACAATACAAAATGGGAAACACTGAGATAAAAAAAGAATACTTACTGTATGATAAAGACTTAGTTATTTACGTTGACAAACCATTTATATTTTCTAGAAAATGTGGGGGAGCAATTAAAACGGCAACCAAATGTTTGGAAATATAGCGAAAAGTACAGAATTTAATTCAAGGGATGCTACAGTGTATGTTAAAATTGTATAATGCCATAGTAAAGCCTAATTTAGAATAATGCTCAAAATGTTACAAAAAATATATTTCTTCTCTGAACTCCAGAGTCCAGAAACATACAGTATCAGGACTTAAGGGAATGTCCTATTCTGACAGGCTGAAGAAATTTAACCTTTTAAGTTTAGCACAGAGAACATTATGAGGGGACCTGATGCTATTTAAAGTATTCAACATCCTCAAAGTCACTGATAAATTTAACACAATGATTTTTTTAGAATTGAAACACAAAACAGTTTTTAAGACTGAAAACAGGAGGCTCTTCTTTACCCAAAGGACTGAGGGAGAATGGAACAAACTATGCAGGCAAGCTATTGAAGCTGATACACTAGCATGTTTCAAGAAAGGCCAGATGAGATTCTATTATCAAAAAAAGCTACAGTAAATGGGCTGAAAGGCCTCCTACCATTTATTTCTTATGTTACTGTATGTAAGACTCACAGATGCCACTGTCCCTTTAGCATAAGGAACTAAGACAGCTGCTGGTAGGAGTCATCCCTAGACAATGATGGTGAGGTGAGTTCTGGTGCACCTCACAACTAATTACTATTCAGTTATCATTAGCAGGGGTTTCTGATGAATACACTGTAAATTTGAAAATAATAACACAAAGAGGGCTGTAGGTATCTTGGACCTACTAACCAGCCATGTTGTTAAAGCTTATACCCTTGCTTCTTTCAAGATGAGATCCTTAGATTAAACCTCGCATTAAACAATGACCTACACAGGTTGATAGGCCTGTAAGATCTGTAGAATTCAATTTGACAAGAGAAAAAAGGAATGTGGTGCAGATAATGAAAAGCAAATAAACACGAAACCGAATACGAGGTTGCACATTAAAATGGCTAAATCAAAACTTCCAATTCCAAGACATCTTGCTTCAGCACAACTGGAACTTACCATCTTGTGCTAGGAAAGTTTTGTTTTCATCCTGGTCTGTGTTCATTTTCTTTTAGAGAATAAAAGCTCATTCTGTCATGAAGATTCTTACACATAGATTATGAAACACCACATAAAATGAATTCTATGATCAATTAATCTGGCATGATCTAGTAAAGCCAGCAACTATCTGCATGATCCTGAAAGTAAGGATGAGAGAATTAACATTTGTATAGTTAAAGGAATTTTACAGGAGTTCAACAAACTACTGTACTGCACATTTTGCCAGATACACCAGGCCTGCCTTAAGACCATGTCTAACCTGATACTGAAACATGAAAATAAAATTACTGTGAAAGAGTCCTGCAAACTAGGTGTAAGTCTGAATACAAAGTATAAATTCAACTCTTGTCTTAGGAATCACATAAATCGTAACACATTGTTCTGTAGAGATTAGATTATTAATGGTGTTCCTTTACGTGATCCAAGCAATAGTACTTAACCACCTAATTCACAGGAAATTCCCTGGGACAATTCTGTGAATTCCCCGTAAACCCCTGAACTACACTGAGTAAAGAAGAGAGTTTCATAGGTTCTCTTGATAGTTCCATCCCTAAAACCATGGGTCTTATATTCATTAAAATAAGAATGAATGAAAATATACACAGTACAACTGTGTGCTGACTGCTGAATAGTAAGCTGCACAATTGTACATTTATCATAATAATGCAATGCAGGGACAAAGGTGCTCTTTGTAATCTGACTGATTTCGAAAAAGGGCTAGAATAAGTTATGATTATTTAACCCTTTGTGCATCCATCCATTTTCTAACCTCTTCATCCAGGACAGTGTTGTAGGGGACACAGGAGCTTATCTTGACAAGCAAAGGGCAAAAAGCAGGATACACATTGGGTGGGATGGCAGTCCATTGCAGGCCACACACTGACAAAGACACATTCACACCAGGGCTAATTTTCCCAGAAGCCAATAAACCTATCCACAGAGACAGCACTCAAGGAATTAAACCCAGGGCACCAGGGCTATGAGGTACATACTGTACAGCAATGTTAACCACTGCATCACTGTGCTGCTCACATACTGTATTAACTTCAAATAATTACAGTCAGTGCTGTTAGGTTTTTTCCCACCAAAATCCAGAAGATTTAAAGCAAGTTACTGTACATCTTATTGTTCCAGAAAAAGGTCAAACTTCTGGAAGGCATTAAATAAGTAATCCTTTTTTGATTTGGTTAATGGGTGCAGTACCAGAGGAAGTGTTATACTCACTATATACTGTATACCTACACTGTCTTACCTACTAAGGCACAGTTAGTGTAACCTTACGTATCTAGAGTGTGTTAAGATTTCACAACTCTTATCACTAAACAATAGCCCGGTTTCCTACTGGTATATTTTTAAGCTACCCATTTCATTCATTGTGGAATGGACTGCTTTATCCACATCAAAGTAATAGAATTAATTATCATCCTCTCACAGACAGAACTGTCTATATCCTTTCTGCTTAACTCTGTCACAGCACATTAACTTGTATAATCTGCTTGCAATACAAACAATTGTTTTCTTCTTACTTGAGATGAAAACAGGCTGAAAAGTTACACCACCTTTTTCAGCTAAAAGCTTTTGAACAATTTTAGGCGCTTGGCAACATTTACAATAGAATACTTATGTACCCTACACTCCCACACATAATCAATTTGTTTCTTTTTGGCTTTATATCAGTTTATTTCTTTTCACTCTGGAGATAAAGAAGTAGACCTTCACTTAAAACAATGGACTGTTTTCCTTGAACCTTTCCCAATTAGTTGTTTATCGTGGTAAGGGTTGGACCACACTGGAATTTAATCTGGAAACAAAGAGTTGTAGGCAAGACTGACAGCATACTGTTGCTCTCTGCTGGGACAGGTCGGAGGAAACTGGAGCATCTGATGAAAACTTACAGGGCAAACACAGAGAACATGTAAACTCCACACAAATAGACATCTGAGACAGTGCTGTGCTTTGTACTTGTGTTTTGTAATATTTTTTCCAATCAATATTTGTATTGTTACAATTTACAGAAAATAAAAAAGGCAAATTGAATTAAAATAGGTACTGTATATGCTGTGGCTTACATTAAGTATTCTGTTAAAGGCATCAGTATATTTATCATCAAATAGCCTAAAAAATAAACATTTCTATCATTACTATTCACAAAAATAGTAGTAGCTGTACATAACCTTTATGGAGCCTTTGTGTCTAAAATTACACAAGTTATTAAGGTTTTGAAATGAAGGACACATACACTGAGCCGTTTATATCCTGGACCACTTTTTCAATGAAGCCCCAAGTGTTTATGAACGGATTGCTGAGCCTGTTCCATTTGGCAACTGCTTTTCAAATAGTGCTGTTGTCCTTACCATTTGTAACCACTATGTTACAGAAAGAGGGTTTTTTCCCCCTCCACTGCCCACAGATAATTCTTTTAGCTATGAATCTGGAAGATCTGATTAACTCAATTTCCAAAGTATTATCTTATACAGTATGTCAAGTCCCTAATACATTTAAAGAGGCATTCTTGAGGCATACATTTTGTGGCTTTCTTGTGAACCCTTGTGCCCAACAAACATACATAGCCACAGCTTGTTGTAATCTTGTCCCCCACAGCTTGTTGTAATCCCTAACACTTTTGTATTTTTACTGCACAGAAGGGGAATGTTGATAGCAAGGTGGTCAATTTCTTAAGGAAACTTGAAACATACTGTATACTGTACGTATTCTGGGTTTCCGATTATCTTTAGAATAATATTATGCTATTAAAACATTTATTTGTACCAGGTGAAGATGCCCTGTAGAATAAATAACAAGATGTTTTACAGTTTTACATTAATCAGTAGTTCACTAGGGACAAAACATTTAAGGATTGAATGATTTGTGAATGCTTGGATTACCTGGTGAGAAAAGTTTGGGTCAACCATCTTGGTTAGTGGGTAAACTCCTGGCCACAGGACTTGAACCCCATTAAGACTGAGTAAACCAAGGAGTAGCTGCAAGGTGGAGATGGGGTGGAGGAGGGATGCACGAGAAGAACGTGGAAGGAGGAGTTTGATTTTAGTTTATATAGCTACTTTGGTGATGATGGTGATTAGGTACAGCTGTATGAGACTGACTTGTCATTTTATTCCTCCCAGCCTTCCATTAATAACTTCAATTTGTTGAAAGCAAAATGAGTACGGTGGAGAGATACTCTCCAATGGGGACAGTGACAGACTGAGGAAGATTGCTAAAGGTACTGTCTATTCCACTTATCTTAAATTCGAAATCCAAAGTAGCACTGACCTGGCTTCATAAAATGCAAATAACCTGCTGACAATTACTGATAACATAAATTAATGAATATATAATGCTGCTTGAAAGTTTGTGAACCCCTAGTGCAACTTTTTAAATGTTACATTTTTACTATGAAATCCTCATTTAATCAAAACTAGTCCTTACTTGATGCATGTAATAGAAAAAAAAATAGGTAGATACGAATTACTGCATGTGCAAAAGTAAGCGGAGGTTCATTAGCTCAGTTATCAAGGTAAGAATAATAAATAATTAGGTACCAATTTAAACAATCAAAAAGTCAATCACCAGGACAAAGTTTGGGAGGCCTTCTATTATACAAAAGTAAGAAACCTATTAAATTTGGTCTTACCCATACTCACTACCCATGAGGTCTCTTTAGATCATGGTATTTTGTATTATACTAAACTTAGTGAAATACACCATGACATGATCTAAAGAGACCTCATACGACTTCAGTAAGAGTTTTGTTAGAGCTCAATAGTCTCAAGAGGGTTATAAAACCATAGCAATTTCATCAGTCAACTGTAAGACTAATAATCTACAAATGGAGGACATTTAAAACCATGGTGACTCCACCTAGATGTAAACACTACCTAGATGTGAACGTTCTTTAAACTGACCACACAGAGTAACAAGACATACATCATACATCATACAGGAAAAGCACCCCAGGAACACATCCAAGGATCTCCAGACCTCTCCTGCTGCGGATGATGTCCATGTTCATTCCTCAACAATACAACATGAGCTGAATAGCAATGGCATTCATCGGAAGGAAGCCAACAGAAAACCTCTGCTCTCAAAAAAAGAACATAGCTGTGTGTCTTTGAAAAGACCGTCTGAATGACCCTGTAGATTTTTCAAAGAATGGTCTCTAGATGGATGAGTCTAAAATTAATCTTTTCGGCTGCAACAAAAAATGCTTTGTTTAGCAAAGACTTACCACCAAAAAAACCTTATCCGTGCTGGTAGGAGTGTCATGGTTTTAGGCTGCTTTTCTGCCCATGAACCAGGATGGCCCACGATCACTAAAGGAACTATGAAGTCAGTCATACCAAAATATTGATAATATGATATGAGTTGAAGTTGAGCTGAAAAAAGGGTCCAATGACATGACAATAACCCTAACATTTCAGGAAATCTACCAAAGAATACATTAAGAAGACCTTTTGTTTTGAAATGGCGGAGTCAGATGCAGATGTAACAGATGCATTAGTAACTATAGGAAACATTTGGTGACTGTCATAGCTGTTAAAGGCTGTTAAAGGATGTGCCACTGCTTATTGAATTAATTTTGCACACAGGAATCACTTAGTTTCTGTTAAATAAACATTTAATAGATAATGAAACGATATATATATGTGTGTCCATTATTTTGGGTATTGTCATTAAATATTGGAGTTCAGATATAACATTTTAAAGATAATTTGGGTAAAACGTATGAAAGTTGAAGGGTTCACATACTTTCAAGCAGCACTGTATTTCAAAGAACTATTAATGCTACTTTAGAATATGTCTTTCTTTAATACTGTTACTATTCACAGAATGAATTGTAAATGAAAGTTTAAATGGATTAAACCAATTTTCGCTGCCTAAACGGGCAACTAACTCTGATGACTATCAGACAACAGTAGAACTTTGTCGATCGAACTGACAGCCAACAACTGGACGCACGTGCGCAGCGTGACTGGTCTGCTAGTCACTGTCTTTAAACTGAAGACAAACGTTTTCTCGCTTTTACACCAATCTTATCCTAGACCACGGACCTCCGAGCATCCTGCACCAGTAGTGTTTTCCTCCTTTTTGAGAAATCAGATCTGAACTCACTGCCTGCTAGATAACTGGAGGTCTAGATGGGCTAGAAACGTTATTCACCACATACTGTAGCCTCCAAACATTTAGAGAATTTTTACACGAATTACTGTGTTTCCGTATCAATAAAAAATATGTGAAATATTACAAATAATCTCAAGAAGCAGTGACTGTCAAATAGGTACAACTATTGACAAGAAAGACATAAGAAACACGAATCAACTTCGCAAGAAAAAAAATGTTTTAAGTCGACAGTGGCGAAAACATACTGGTCAAATTAAGGCCACTTCAAAAGCCATACCGTCGAAACCATCTCAATAGCCTAATATAGCATTTGTTTTTCTGCTTACATAGTTCGTGTTGTTTTCCCCAAGCTCACGACTCGGTTAACCCACCTTTCTCCAACCGGGGAGTCCAGCTGGAGGCACTTGATGGCCACGGTGGTTCTCCAGTCAGAGTGCTGGGCTCTAAACACGGTGCCGAAGCCGCCTCGGCTCAAGTAATGCAAGTCCGTCAGTTTCTGATAGGGGATGACCGGCAAAGTGCTGGTCAGGCTGCAAATATTAACGCAGCCCGAATGCTCCATGGTAGTAATAATAATATTTAAATGCAAAGGCCTCAAAAAAGGGAGGGCAATCCAGTAAGGAGAAGCGGAATTGAAAACTACAGTACAAAGCCGAGTATGAAATCGTAACCTCAGACAAAAATACTAATACGTTTTAGTTATAGTAAACTACCAAGAAAAAATCAGTCCAACTCCACTAATTAATACAGTGATGAATAAAAACCAAATTAAAATAAGCAGACGTCGCAGAAACAGAATATTTTCCCCATTTCCGCCAGGTCTTCTTATTACCGTCAAGGCAATCAGGTGTGAGGTGCAAATCCCGAAGTGGTCGTATCTTCAGCGGAAAAAGTAATGAAATCGGCAGACATGGTCGGGGGGTTGTGGTGTTTTATATTTATTTTACCCCTATGTTTTCTGCGGCGAACGATGTTAAGCGATTTATTGCGTTTTTGCGCCTTCGCGATGTGTATTTCTAAACCACACACACCGCGTCATACAAAATATGCCTCCCAGCTGCTTGGACGAATGTATTATACAGCTTAAGGCTGCATAGTTGTCCTACAGGTTATTTCCTAAGCAAGTATCTTCCGGGTTTGACAATGTAAAAATTACCGTACAATCGAGAAACCATCACGCAATACCTTGCGTCGATATATTCAGATTCTCGACTTGTGCCCACTGAAAAGCAGAATTTTATCTCATTTTACCGAGTTTCAGCACATGCCATGAAACGCACTGTTGCTATTTCGGCAAAAAGGATAAACAGCACTAAAGAGGGTTTTGGTTTGCAGGCGCTATATCATCATAACCGACTTTCCTGACACGACAGTTTCAACGCTTGATTTTATATGGTGCGTGTCTTCTCCTCTCATCTTGTTTCCAGTATGTGTCATGTGAGAAGAGTTAATTTATATGCTCATTTTTACAATATCGAAGTGGTTTCATTACAGCGAGACTGTCATCCCACTTAGGTCAAACTCGTACAGTAGTTTCCAAATCTCACGAACAGCCGTACAGTACATTTTGTCACTTAGAAGAGACGGCACTAGATTATTTTATTCTATAAGGGTTTTATAACTAGACCGTTAATTTACAATCGGCACATTTTATTCAGCATAATTTTACATCCTTCACATGAAGCAGACCGCCAGCACATTACAGCACCCGCTCATTTGCAGGATCTCACGGCAGCCCTGTCTTGTGACCGAGAGTTCAGACAGCTTGTTCCGGTGTTACGATGCCAGCGTGTTGTGATGCAAAACAGCTCTTAGAGCTGGGTAATAGGATACAGTGGTTTTTGGTGTAGGCCTGCTTTATTACGTACAGTATATTGATGGAACTTAAAAAAATAATTATTTAAGTGCCTTTTTTATAAAATCGTTTTCTTGAACTGCAGATATACAAACCCTGAGGTTGTAAAACGGGAGATGGAACTTGTTTTTTTTTTCTTTAAACGGGCTGACATATTGCACAACATTACGTATGATATTTGGGAAATTCCAACTTTCGACTTTACTGACGTTAGAGTGTATAATTAGTATATTTAAATGCTGCCACGAGAGGGATTTCCATTCACTAGATCGTCTGCGTGTGTGATTTATACATATACCCCGAGCACACATTTATCGTACACCCATTGCACTATCCGTTCTGAATATGTTTATGCCATACACTGTATGGTTAAATTTGGATATGATAGAATCACCGAAACAACGCTCGAACATCGCTAATACATTTTTAATTTTATGAAATGGTCCTTGTAGACTAGTTCAGTTTTTTTTTCTGAATAGGTGCTTGATTTAATAAATACTATAAATACTCATGGCACAGAAGATAAAATGTTCTACAGCGCTCGGGTCCTAGGTTGACTTGCAAGTTGCAGACCTGGGGTACTATCTGCGTGGAGTTTGTATATTCTCCCTGTGCACGCATGGCTTTGAGTCTGTGTATGTCCTGCCTTTCACCTGTTGCGTGCAGTATATGCAAATGATACAAATGGTAAGAAAAACATTAGAAACAAGACCACAATTTATTTAGCTGCTAGAAGCTATTTAACCCAAATCACATCCAGTCTATTCTTGAAAAATGTCAGGGGCTTTAACAGCGTGGAACATACTTGTTCAAACTTCCACAAGGTACAGATTTCTACAAGGAGTGATCCTCATTCCTGGTTCTAGGAAATATCAGACCACCAGGATTTATACAGTGGATTACATGATTTTTCAATTTAATTCAAAGAGTGGATTTCAAAGTAATGACAGAAATTGCTAAAGCAATATGAATGGACAATTTCTTTTTGAACACAAACATTACAAATGTTAGAAAACTATAACAATGCAAACCACAGTATGGGGTTGAGGGGTGGAATGAAAAATAAATAAGCTAAAATGTGAATCATAATCCTCAATGAATAAAGACATGGTAACAGTAGAAGTATATATATTGATTGTATAGCCCAATTAAGTGGGGAGTTTATTACAATCAAATCACTAAGAGTTCAGGGAGAACCAAATACCAGAAGGCATGGCAGAAGTTACCAGTGTTGTATACTTTGATCCCGAAGTGTTTCTTTGGTGAGGTGTGACCGATGCCAACACCGGTGTGTCTTCCGAGGAGTCCAGGTCCAGACAGAAATTGGTTCTCTCCGTTCCTGGGCTTTATGACTGTTGGCCTGATAAAGCCTCTCATGCTGGGGTTCCCAATCCTGGTCCTGGGGGGCTGGTTTTCTAGAGGTCTTCAGTTCAGTTGTGCTTGGAATGACCTGAATCAGCTTATTAGTGGCTTAATTGGACCGTTATAACAGCTACTCCCAGAACTCCAGGTGCTGCTGCTTTAAGACCTAATAAACCCATAGAGACATTCTCCCTTCAGGACCAGGACTGGCAACCCCTTGCTCTCCTTGGTTTTGCCTTTTTGTCAATCACAATCTTTGTTTTTTCACTTTTTTTCCCCCCATTTTTATTAAGTGGGGAGGAGGCTGCACAGTGGCACAGTGGTTAACATCGCTGCACTGGGGGCCCTAAATTCAATTCCAGATCTAAGCTGCTATCTGTGTGGAGTTTGTATGATCTCTCTGTGATTGTGTGGGCTTCCTCCGTGTGCTCTGTTTCTGTTACCTCCCACAGTACAACACATACTAATAAGTTAATTGGTTTCTGGGAAAAATTGGCCCTGGTCCACATGTGTATTTGTCTGTGTTTGTGTCTTTGTGCAACCATTGCTTGCTGGGATAGGTTTTGGCTCCCCCATGACCCTGAAATGGATGAAGAAAATGGATGGATAGATAGAAAAAGTTAATAAAAAATAAAATGTTTGTTGTGGGTACAGCAAGGTTGGTTTTGTTCTGTTGGTTTTGTCACTTCTGTTTTCTGTTTAAAATGATACTGTATTATTTGAATGATGGGACCCACTAGGGACAATTCCTCACTGAATTGAATTTTAAATATATGTAATACTGTATGTAATTTTCTGTAGAAACTATAAAGGTTACATTCTTTAAACTGGAAATTCCTTATACAATGGAGCCTTCAGATGAGAGGAACAGAGAAGCTGGACTCTGTTCAATGGCCCCACCCTGTGGTAGGCTTTGTATTATACACTAAAATATATAAATATATGTTATAGTTCCACTTGTGTGCGTGACAAATTTCGTTGCTCCCACAGTGTTCTTTTATCAGTTCTTTAGATGGGTCAACAACATTCATAATAGTTCTTCACACAGCAAACTATGGTGATATTATGTTGATAGGTTATGTGTAGGTGTTTCCCGAAAGCTTTAAACTGAATTTGAATAGCGTTGAATGCTGGTTTCTTTTCTAAATCTTAATTTTTTCAAAATTTATGAATAATTTCAATGACAAGAAAGCTAAAACTGTGAGGTGCTTTTTCACTCCTGTGAGGAAGCTAAGGGATTTCATTATTTTTCACAGAGTTACAGAGGTTTATACTGAGGTTACCAATACGATTGCAGCTACATGAAACAGACTGTCAGGAAAGAGAGTAGACGCCACATTTCATTTAATCAGCCTGTATCAGATCTATTTATGTTTTGTAACAGTTTTGTTACAGTGGCAGTACATGAGTGTTAGTAATTAAATATTAGGAAAAATAAGGAAGAACATTGCATGGAATGTAACAAGATTCATTTTTTCTTTAGTAATTTATGTTGCTACCCTTGAAAAAATCATTTTTCATTTTTACTATTTATATGTTTAAACTAGTTTGCTCTGAGCTGTATTTTTCTTTTCCAGGGCACAGCACAAACACTTGTTGGCTGAATTTTTCTGAGGTGGCTCACTGTACATATGTACAACATCCCTCTACCAGAGCTTTGCTGTACTCACCAGAATACCAAGAGGCTGATGTTCGGGTCTTTGTTTGTTTAAAGAAACACATTTACAATGGTTGCAGTTACATTTTGTTTTCAAAACACTTTTTTTGTAATCAGTCCACTTTGTTCTTTTTCTTGTACATTTGCTTTATTTTGTCCAGAATGATTGTCCAATAGTTATGAAACATTCTAATAGAATTAGTTTAAGCCACATTAACTGCTTCATCATCACTTGAAGCTTAATTGCACTATCTGTAACTGCATCATGCTAATATAATCAGAAACAAAGCCTTTAAAAGCACTACAGACTGCCTGTTAATGCAAAAATAACAAGGCTCCTTTCTGTAGCCTTCTGAACCAGAGTATGGAATAAAGGTTTGTACTATTTTTGAAAAACTGATTAATTTAAACATGAAATTATAATGAAACTTCTTTTACCTTAAAGTTTCCTTTGGCTAATAACCCATCCATTTGCCCAAGCCTTTTGCCTTGTGTTTCAAGGTCATCCCCTAGGTCAGAGCAACATTCTTGAGAATTTCATTGAACAGAGCACTTTTCAACAAGATACAGAAGTGTATTCAGAAGTATACTGACTGTGGTTTCTCAAGGTGCGAATAGCACTTGAAGCTTTCTTGGGAAAGTATCATTTTCAATTGAATATTTCTGTACTGCTTCTGCTTTGATCTTAACTGAATTACAGTACATCTGGTACTACTGCAATCACTATCGACAATAACAATAATAACAACAATAACTCTCCATAAAACTATTATAGAATAGATTAGCAGCTAGCCAGATATAGAAAGTCTGATTTTAAAAGGGGAATCTTGAGCATGAACTTGAATCTCTCACATTCTCATCCCTCAGCGGCCCAGGAAGGATAAAAGGTTGCACTCTGTATCTGTGATTTTGTGCACTGAAGCGGAACACAAAGCCCAGAGGGAAAAGCTGTGCATCTTCATATCTTGGCAAGATGATTTGGTATACAGTAGCATTTCTGCCATAAAGACAACTTTAGGGTTTTAGTTATAGTGCATTCCAATGTATTTGTTCCCTGCCAAAGATGTTCCATTTTATGGAGTTAATGACAAAAGTTCGGGAGAGATGATAACAGCCACGCTTAATTGTTCTCAGCTGTCAGTAATTAGCAATCTCTCCCATCATCCTTCTTCCAACAAATGCTATAATTTCCTACTCTCCCTCGCATACAACTTTTCTATCCCACCTCCACCTCTGCAGTTGCCCCTTGGTTACCCTGTGTGAGGGTCCTGGCCTCCTTGTCCTGTGGCCAGGAGGGCAGCCCCCAGCCAAGCAGGTTAAGCCAATATCTGCTCCATAATAGCTCATCACACTTTTATCTTGGGGGT